CTACTTTATATTGAAATGGGTCACACGAGTCACTTGGGATGTACGTGGGGTTTGCAGATTGTTTATGATATACTGTGGTATGGATGTTGGGTGTCCCGATTTTAATATCAATATCCAAGAAATGAACATTGGAGTTGCTGTGTTGGTCTGCTCCGAGTGAGACCATGTGGATTATCATTCATCTCTTCCACAAATCATGTTAAGTTCAATGTGGTTTTCCATATAATAATATCATCATCCACATATCGCCCGTAAAGCATGATGTCATTCATGAATCCCGGTAAGGTCCTAGCTTCTAGTTGTCTCACTACCAACTCTCACAAGTCTCCAGACACCGGACTACCCATTGGGACACCCCTCGATTGTGTATATGTTCATCCGTTGAATTGGAACACTGAACCATAACAAACCAGGTGGGCTAATTCTAGCATGTTTTGATGTAGGGATGCATCATTCCCTCTCGTAAACAGGAGGTCCCTAAGTGCGCAAAAACACGGTGGAATCTTAATGGACGGATATAAAGATTTAAAATCTAAAACCATGATGCAATCAGGAGATGTGATCAGTTTTGATTGATTGATTAACTCCACAGGATTGGAGATGGAGAACAGATAGCCACTTAAGTGTGGCCTAATTATGTTGTGGATTGCATTCTCCAATTTGGCATTAGCTTTATCAACTACCGGGCGAAATTGTTGGCCTTCTTTGTGTGTCTTCGCGAATGCAAATAATTTAGGTACTTCCAGGGTATCCATTGTGATGTTCTTCAGCTCTAGTTTCTTGGCTAACTTTGAACTAGATAAGCGTTTAACCCTAGAATGTAGTTTCTCCATCCATCTATTGTCCACTTCATTGCCATTGCATCTCCGTACTCCTGTAGCCCTTTTTCGTATGTCTCCTTTTTCATGATGACCATGACCTTGGATTTATCCGCTCTGATGATCGTAACTTTGTTCCACCGTGTCCATCTAACGGTGCGTCTGATGTTATCCCTCAGTTCGAGAACTTCTTTATAGAGTCCTTGGTGTTTTTAATTCTACAGGTGGCTATCCACCTATAATATTCTTTCTGTATGTCTGTGAAGCCCCATAATAACAGCTCCAAATCCGGTATAGACGATGTGAACATCATCTTAATAGGACACACAGGAGCGAAGGTTGGTCTAAACTTGAGTGTATCTGACAAACCTTGGGACTTATAAATTATCCCATATTACGAATGGACAATGATGTTGCCTGTGGCCTTTAGGTATTTGGAACTGTAAAATCCAGTCAAGTTTCTTGCTATAACGGTTTTTTAAATTTGTTCTAAGCCTGTGATTCGAATTTACGATTCTCCTATTTTCGATTTCCAGTATGTGGGGGCCTCAACACAAAGCAGATAACAATACACAGAGCCACCACGTCACTCGCAATTTATGCGTCAGAATCGGGCATTAATGTAGACTTCGCAGAGGCATTGTTAATAGTCAAAACAAAATGCATGGAACACCTCAAATGGCTAGAAGTGATAGAAATATATAAGGCGCACACTACATTTACGTGCATTAACTCCCGAGAAGAAATGGCTCTTTTGTTAGCTTGGTAAGCCTTATTACATAATGATTACTAAGGATTTGGTTGGTATAGGAGGATGCACGAGGGCATGTAAAGATCATAATAAAAATAGTGCATCAGACACGTAAGAGAAGAGTAAATGCGATTCTGAATGATGGCGACACAACAGATACAATGCATGCGCAGTGGATATCGCACAATCGAATCATCATTCTAATTTTTCTTTTTAAAATTGTGTGACGGTGTTTTAGAATAAGGAATCCAGCCATTTTACCTGAGGAAGGACACGGAAGGTGTTCAGAAAACGTTTGTTTTTACAAAGTTGTTTATTTTTGTATTTCTACACACTGGTTAGAGGCATGAGTAAGTACATTTTTTGTTAATAATACTGATTGTCAGTTACAAAAATTGAGACGGATGGGCTTGGATGATCAAGAATAGCAATTATTTGGTTCAAAATTTGTAAGTTTTAGTCTTAAATTGCCTCGAAGAAGTTCATCTTGTAAGTTGATGTCAATTTTTTGATTTGAGTGGAAAATGGTGCCATAATCCATTCCAACGGTGGGCAGCCCGCGGGCCAGCTACGGCCCGCGAAAAGTTTCTATCCGGCCCGCGAGATGTTTAGAAGAAATTATAAATAAATATTTTTCGATGTAATTCGTTTAGTTTAAATTGAATATTATTTTCTGAAGTGTTGCGGCAGAAATGACAGGAAAAAATAAGGGAGTCATTTCCTTATTCAAACAAAAAATGGGAGAACAGAATTTTTCTAAATTATTTATATCTCATCGCATCATCCATCAAGAAAATCTATGTGCAAAAGCTATGCAATTAGAAAATGTAATGTCTGTCGTATCCAACTACATAGTGCTGTTTTTATTGTGTTTAAAGTCACTTAGATTTTACAAATAGGTGAGCCGTTCACAGCCCGGCACACGCATTTGTAAAATCTAAGTGACTCATACAACATGGAATTCATATAAAACGGAATAATCAACAGTGTTATAGGGGGGTCGACTGTAGTAATTAATTTCTTTTTATTTATTTATTTATTTATTTCATATTTGCAGACAAAAAATTTACAGGTCACAAGGTGTCAATTAACTACTATGGCCCGCGGAAAAAACGTAAAATTTATTCTGGCCCATGTTATAAAAAAGGTTGCCCACCCTTGATCCATTCTATGATATCAATATTTTCTAAATCTGCAAAACACTGTACTATTAAATTCATTGAAACAATATTCAAAAACATAATAATATGTATAGTTATACTTTAGATTTTTAGTTTAGTTCCATTGACCCCCAGGAATCAATATCGGCCACTTCAGTGACCTTTGATCTAAACTGATTTGTCTTGAAAAATCAAATATTTAAACTTAAAACACCATGAAACTTAGCACAAACAAGTATATTTACTCAGAAGTACATGAATTGCATTTGAAAACTTAATGTATTACGGCATCTTTTGACACTTAAATATTTTTGCCAATTTGAAACTAGATAGCCCAATAGTTCAACCAATGTTAACTAGCTTATAATTAAAATTTTTAAAAAGCAGGCAAATATGAAGCAAAAAATTAATGAAATTACTAAAAATATTAAAATAAATTTAAATTTTATTATCTTTTGTGCAAAACAATGCTAAAACAATTTCTATAATTATGTCACAAAAGATGAAAAGACTTGCAATTAATTTAAAAAATTGTAATTAGGGGTTCAAAAAATGCAGGTAAAATTAAAAGATTGTTTTTAAACACTAACAGTTGTTTGAATATTTTCAAATTGTAAAATTTATGTTATTTATGTGCAGCAGTGACAGAATATTTTGCTTTTAATACTTATATAGATACACAGAATACAGACTGCCAGTCATGCTGTCTGCATGGCAACCCAAAAAATCTCTCTATCTTCCCTAAAATGGGGACGGTTGGAACCGACCGAGTGCAATCTCTCGTCGTTCTGACTACACGAAAGGAAAGTCCGCCGTCGCCTCGTGTATGGGTCGTTGCGTACTTTCTGCTTTATCGACATTCCAATAAACTAATATTTAATTGTTTTTATTGTAATTTAAAAAATTTTTAATATTCAACCAAAACAAAAATTATTTTTCTTATAAAATGTGGAAGAATCTGAAATCGTGACAAGATTTTCTTGATTTCGACACCCAGAAAATAGTCTGATTTTTCCCAACTCTGTTATCGTTTTGCTATTCAAATAAAAAGGAGAAAGAGATGAGTTTAATGTTTACAAGCATCAAATAATTAAAAAATATGATTATATTTAATATTAATCCTGATTCATATGTCATTTCACTTGATTTTTATACATTTTTTTATTAAATTACTCCATTGTCTGTCCGGAAAAAATCTTGGAACTAAGTTTTCACTCGCTTCCCAATTCTTGATCTACTTGACACTTGGAATACATATGTATGCAAAGTATAAGAATTGTCACATTACTTTCTAAATTAAGGAATTGTTTTGTGTGTAATTAAAAAAGAAATATAAATTAACACTCCCTTTATATTTGTAATAATAAAAAAATCTCGAGACCATAAAATACTAGTATAATATTAATCCTGATAGAGTTTTGTTAATTCTGAAAATTTGTTCTTAAAAATAAAATGGCCTTAATCCTGTTCTCCTTCATTTAATCTCGCGTATCTTCACAATTCAAAGAGCAGAAAAAAGATATTCGGCACTAACTTGTGTGGGCAGTAGTACCATTACAGTAAGAATAACCTTTTGAATGATTTGTGCAATGGCACATACGTTAAAATATATCCTCCGGCTTTCGCTTTTCGTTTTAAAGAATGATCAGTTTTTTAATTTCTTTTTGGAGCATGACAAAAATCCAATTTAATAACAGTAAAATTCAAAGATTGGAAGTTGAACAATTTGCCAATTCCGATTCTGCAATCTTCTTCTTAACATTTTCAGCACTTTTATATTAGAAAGTTAGAACCTTGGTTTTTGGCTATTTAAATGAAATATTCACATCGTCCTCGGATTGATCATCTAATCCGAGTATGATGTGAATATATATCAAATTTATTTTGAGAGGGAAATTGGCTATTTGTTTAATAACACTGATGGACGTCAAACGATCGCCTTAAATACCTGGGCTGTAAATCTGCCATTTTTAATAATTATTAATTTAGATAAGAAATAGCACCTAACGTCTACCTCTATTAGCAAATTACTTAGTATTAATTATTAAAAATAGCGGATTTATAGCCCGAGTATTTAAGGCAATCATTTTAGCTATGTATTTTCGGGCTTCGGGTTGTTTAATATACTTATATGTTATTAAACAATTTTTTTAAGGCATATTTTAATAATTGATTGTATTCAAGCATTAGTTATTTGCTGCTACATAATTAAATTTTTTTTTAATACCAGAAAAATTTAGAGTTATTTAAAATAATTAATTTCTTCATCAGGCTCTCTTTGTGTTGTTTGAACATGCTTCGGGATATACCTTATTCCGTGTTAAGGAGTTTGAAGAAGTGGGTATGTTCTTACCCGAAGTAGAGAAGAGCATACAAAACTTCAGTCATTTCTGCTCCATTGTCCAGTTGATTGCTTTCACGCCATTTAAAAATGCATCTAATGCTCTTGACAACATGAACAGCATTTCTGAAGGTAAACGTTGATTTTCTTTTTTCCAATTATCCCTACGGATGGTTTAAGTTCTTGTTTGTGTACAGGCATTCTTCATCAAGACTTGCAACTTTTTCTCGAAACTTATCTGCCCAGACCGGGAAAGAAGAAACACGTAATTCTCGGAGTCGGAGATGCAAAAGTGGGCGTCGCCATTCAAGAAACCCTGTCTTACCCGTGCCAACACACTGGTGTCGTTCCGGAAATTATACGTGGTAATTACAAATTTTGAGGTTTGGTTTATACGGGACCGTGTATTGTCGATAGTTTTCGTTCTATTTCGCATCTGTTTAAATTTCTTTCCAGGTGTTCGTGTTCATTTTCATAACTTGATCAAAGGATTGTCCGACAAGACCGCATCAAAGGCCCAATTGGGTTTGGGTCACAGTTATTCTAGAGCTAAAGTCAAGTTTAATGTAAATAGAAATGATAACATGATCATTCAAAGCATTTGTCTCCTGGATCAATTAGATAAAGATATAAATACATTTGCCATGAGAGTCAGGTGATTATTTCTTACATTTTGAAATAGTTAATACTTAATTTTATTAAATTGACTGGTTTTTCTTATATAGGGAATGGTACTCGTACCATTTTCCAGAATTGGTAAAATTAGTGCCAGACAATTATATGTATGCCAGAGTAGCAAAGTTTATAAAACAGAGAAAAACCTTAAATGAAAGAAATGTCGAAGAATTAGAAGAAATTGTCATGGACGGTTCGGTGGCCAAAGCGATCTTTAATGCCGCAGAAATGTCAATAGGTACATTAAGTTGGAATTGGTCAAAAATTAACTATTTACAAATGTTTAATCCAATGATGAATATTTTTTTCAGGAATGGAAATTTCACCAATAGATTTAATCAACATTGAAACTTTTGCATCTAGAGTGATAGCTCTGGCTGATTATCGAAAAGAGTTATTGGAATATTTGAGATCGAAGATGCATAACGTAGCACCTAATTTAGCGGCTCTTATCGGCGAGACGGTAAGACGGCTTTTTTTCGTGCATAAAAATAAAAACCGTTCTGCTTTTTTACAATTTTTTTTTTTTTTTTTAAATTATAGGTTGGTGCCCGTTTAATCTCGCATGCTGGAAGTTTGACGAATCTTGCTAAATATCCTGCTTCCACGGTTCAAATTTTAGGAGCGGAAAAAGCTCTTTTCAGGTAATTGTAAAAGTATATTTTTACAGTTTATGTAATAAAACAAATTAACGTCAATATTCTTACAGGGCGTTAAAAACACGAGGCAACACTCCAAAGTATGGTCTTATCTTTCATTCGACATTTATCGGAAGAGCCGGTGCTAAAAATAAGGGACGAATTTCGCGTTTTTTGGCAAACAAATGCTCTATTGCTTCAAGAATCGATTGCTTTTCTGGTAAATGTTTTAAAATAAACTAGCTAATAAAACTCTCTTATAAAGAATTACTAAAATTTTAAACTTGTTAGAAATGCCAAATGATATTTTCGGGAACAAATTAAAAGAGCAAGTAGAAGAAAGGTTAAAGTTTTACGAAACTGGAGAAGTGCCAAGAAAGAATGTGGAAGTGATGAAAGATGCTATAGAAGAGGTAAATTAAAATATTATATATAATAAATGTTAACAATTTAATAAAAATCTTGTTTTAAATATGTAGTCTAAGCAAGTTATCAAGTTAGCGAAAAAGTTGAAAAAAGCAAAGAAAAAGAAGAAGCAAGAAGAAGAATCATCTATGGTTTCTTCTGCTATGGAAGAAAGCAACTTTAAAGAAAACGAAATTCAAGAATCGGTTATTGACGAGGAAAAACCGCAAAAAAAGAAGAAGAAAAAGAAGAGGAAGTTAGAAGATGAACCTATAGCGTCCTCTAATCTGGAGGAAAGCGTACCAAACGGCGAAATAGAGGCCGAGACGCAAGTTATCGCAGACGACGTGGAGTTGCCCGCAAAGAAAAAGAAGAAGAAGAAAAAAAGTAAACAAGAAGAATCAATCGAAGGTTAACCGTTTCATCTGTATGGATTTCCACTCAAGTACATTTTATTTTAATAAATTTTATGTACCATTTAATATTTTATATTATTTGTGTGTGAATACGACACGGGTTTTTTTCAGATAGACAAAACTATGAAAAAGCAAATAATGCTTTAAAATTTATTTCATTTTCATTCCAACTATACAAACAGATCTAACATCCAAGATAATTATTATATTAGTAAACATGCTTGTTTAAAAAAAGTTAAACAAATTTTTTTTGCATTGCTGAACCAAAGATTATATGGTTTAATTAATTTATTGGCAATTTTTTACAAGAAGTAAGTTGTCATAAATCACAGAACTATTATATAATACTGTTGGCCATAAAACACCACAAATGTATAAAACATTTGCACATAAAGTCTGTATCATTTATAATGTCTTTACAAAGTTATAAGTAAAATCTAAAAAATATCTTATCAGGAATGATTTATCCTACAATTGCAAGTTTTTTACTTTTTTTTTTTTTCCTTTTTTTATTGTATATAGTATAAATGTATATATTAAAGAAAAACAAAAAAAAATACCACAAAATTCTTAGTTAATTATATCGCTGTACAATATACTAAAAATGTAAAAAATATCAATGAAAGTTTGATCATAAATTATAGGAAAGCATATTAAAGCCACAACTTTGATGCCGTTCGTAACAAATTTCTGTTTGCAATAAAAACAGACGACAACGTGAACAGTTAGACATCTACTGTGTTTAAAACTTGTAACATTTTGATGATAACAAGAGCTATTTTCTCTGCAAATTGCAAGAATTAACTATTAACATATTTTGTGCAAAAGTATTCTATGTTATCGCTATACAATTAACACATAATATACCTTTTGCAAATACATCAATCTTAATAATGCAATATTTGAATTATTTTTGCATAACATACTGTAAATAGATTATCTTTAGAGGTCCGAAACAAGTAACTATTAAAAAATGTTTCTATTGGGGGGAAAAATCTTAATTTTTTGGCATTTAGAATTTTTTTCTAAAGAAAAAAAAAACAATTTGATCTTTTGTTTTCTAGTATTCTAGAATGCAATGACAAAAAATCAGCTAAAATTCATAGCAAAACTATTAATGTACGATCTCTTTCCAGTCGTTCACGAACAGGAGAGTAACGAAGATTGACGAGAAATCGAAAGAGCACTCACTGTAAAGACATTTAAATGTTTGAATTCAAACTTATAATTGTTATGGAAAAAAATTTTAACTTACGTAGTCCAAGTCCTTGAGAGAAGAGCAAAATGTTGTGTGCCAGACGATGCGGCTATTGAAGATAAATTTATTATATATTAAAATATAAGGTTATATAAAAAAAACTTTTTACTAAAAATTCGTATAAAATATTTACCACTTCATTCATTACATCACCAACGTCATCAATTTTGAGCAAAGTTGTCCATTTAGGATCCATGTGAGTGTGCATGGTATGAACGGTATGGACGTGAGAAGCCTTAGCTCCCGTTACTAGTAACGTGTCGACCCTAAAACAAGAAATTTGTGTGTGAGATTTACATAAATTAAATTAGTTTTAATTACTAAACATTACAACAAAGACAAAATCAGATAAAATTACCACTTACTTCATTTTATCTCTCAAAACACCAGAAAGGTCACTTCGACTAAAGAATAAAAAATATACATGTATATTTTGAGATCTTCAAAATGTTTGCTGGACGTTAAAACTCAAATATAACTTACTTAAGAAAAGAATCCACATAGAGACGCAAATTGCGAGGATTGAGTCTGCTTTTTAATTTCTTGATGTAAAGATTGATAACTTTGTCTTTGTCTTCGGCTTTTTCTATTTGCTATATTTCGAAAAGAAGTTTAATGAAATTACTCGAGCGGTTAACGATAAATTTATTTAACACCAATTTACCTGTTCCAATATCTAATTGCAAAATCCAGTAAGCAAAAAAATAAAATATTTAAATTTAAAACTTTTAAACGACAATTAATAATGATTTTTAAAAATGTGTAAAATTACTATTACAAAATATCAGTCACAAAAGTTTTAAAATACTCACGGCCCCAAATTTATGAAATACAAGATACTGCTCGGCCGTAGGATTCATTCCCACGGTTTGCAATTTCCAATTAATTATCTGGAAAAATTTTTAATTATATAATTTTTTGATAATTTTATATTGTTTTAAAATTTGTTTTTAGTTTTAAATTATACCTTGTCGTTAAAATATTCCATTATTCCGGCAACAGTGGAAGTACAGTGAAGCAAGACGTTTCCGAGCACACGATTGGGATACAGCATCTACTCCGCAGAGACAGAAAGTTAACGATACCGCAGTTTTTGCGCAAAGAGGTGTTAAAAAAGCAATCTACTCACTGCAAATCTCGTAAGAATATTTGCTCCCGCTCCCTCTCCCAGTGTTATAACATACTTAATACTAAAAGTAAGGACAGATTTATTTTATTTTGGTATTTAAAATAAACTAAATAGAAATGCATTTCGAAAACACTCACTTAAAATAATCTAATATATAAATGAGATCTTCGGCCAATTCTTGCATAGATGGAAAGTTGAAACTATATAAAAATATAGACAGAATTATTTCACGTAATTGCTCAATTATCTACGGAGTCATCTATTGTAATCGTTGTAAATTTTTTAAATCATTTACATCTACAAATTTCGATTGTTTATATATAATAACAAAAAACCATTATCATTTCTTATCAGGAAATCTAGAGACAGGAAACATCTGAATATTATGTTTCGTTTTGACCTTCAGTCAATTTTTTTTCTTTCTCATTTAACTAATTAGGTAATATCGTAAATTCTATTACATAAAATATCACTCGAGTAATCTACATTTAAGTATATATTGTACGAATAAGCCTTTATATGATAGTTACTGAAAATTTACCTCTCGTCCAAGTCTGGAGCGTCGTATTCTTGGCCCGGTATTTCGACGTGTAAAAACACCGAACGTTCTCTTATTTTTTCCATAGAGGGATGCTCCACAAAGTTATGGAATTCTGCATCTGTACAGTTATACCAAACTAGTGTTTTAATGCATTTAATTTTAACATAATTTTCATGTCGACAGTAAATGTCTCAATACAGTATCTACGAGTAACCGTTGTATTTCATAAATTGATCATATGACTAAGATGATAAAATTACTAACTGTACAACTTACTTAATTATTAAAAGCAATTTTTGAAATTACTAATCAGCATAAATTCTAGCAAGAATCCATAAAGTCGGTGTGTCCGGGATAATCTTACAAAACAAATTTTCCCATTCAAAACCATATAAAATGAAATATTCATAAAAACACTTACGATTACAACCCATGTCGTGAACGGTAAGAAAAACTGGAGTTCTGTCTCTGATAATCTGGGTATTTCCCTATATTATTAATTAAATTTCATTACACATTACATACTTATTCAATTAATTAACGAAAACTTGCATAATTGAACACGGTTAATACTCACTTGTACAAAGACGCTTAAAATGCCACATTTGTCGGTTTTAATGAGATGTTTCTGTAAAAATAAGCAACAATTTATAAGCATAGAAATGTGACACGCCCGTTTATATACGATAAATTTTCCCTTATATGAATGAAAAGATTTGTGAAAACACAATTATCAATTGCCATTGAATTTCCTTTTTGCAACTAAATGCCACATTATACAATAACCATATATAAATAGATGCGGATCTCTGTATATTAGAGAGGTTGCGGCTGATGTTTTCAACATGAAAATGTGTACGTGTACGTCGGACGTTCAGTGCCGCTTTCCTGAAGGCCTAGAAGTTTGGCAATGGTGTTTGGAATGTCGAGCGTGATTCCACTGACTATCCAAACACCATTGTCAAACTTCTAGGCTTATAGGAAAGCGGTGCTGAACGTCCGACGTACACGTTTTTGCATTGAAAATGTCGGCCGCAACCTCTCTATTTCTAATAGGCGGTGTATGGCTCGTGACAAGGTTTGGCCACCCCTGCCATATAATCAGTCTCTTACCGGTAAAGAAAAAGTGATGCAAATCACTTACAAACAATGCGTGTAATTAAAAGTATTTTAATTAATAATTTTGCATTTATTAAAAAGCTTTAATTAAACTAAATTATTTAAAATAACCCTTTCTATTTCTTGCAAGTAAGGTCTTATTATACAATTCATTCTACTAATAAAACTTCCATCACTAACGTACGAAATTTTGCAACAAGTTGCTTAACTTTCCCGGCAACGTACGCTGGCTCCATCTATTATCATATTTTAAAAACTTTTACATTTTTAACAATTATAAAACGGCAAAAATCTTAATTTTTTTAATATAAAACCTGAAAATTAAGTTCAAAACGTTTTAAATCACTTTTTCCACGTAATCACTATTATAATTTACGATTCGAGTAATTCCGACGGTTCGATTTTAAGCTCGGTCGAGTGTAGAAAATAAAATGTTGATCGAAAGATTTATATACTGCATATAACTAATGGGGCAGAAGAAAAAATATAAGCCTAGTTAATGAAAGTTGAACGCCTGGGAGAGATGCCACGACAATACTCGGTCATCCGAACAAAGACGAAGAGAGAATAAAAATGACTTTGCGGTGGCTAATGGCGCGCCTTCGAGCGGTGCCGCTCCAATCCATTACGCGACAGCAGGAATAAAACTACCCGATATTAAAAGAAAATTTGTTTATGTATTCAATACACATTCGACTATTCTATAGAAAAAAATGAAAGTTAATTGTTCGGTTACGGGCTAATTCGAGTTGATTGCGGGAAGCTCGGCCGCGATAAAGATCTGGCAAAGTACTCGGTACTTAATTAACGAACGCGTATCTCGTTTCGACAGGTGCCGAAATCGGATAGCCGGATGAACGAGCGGAAAAAAAAAATGTCCTCTGAAAGTAATGACCGAGTAGCCTATAAAATATTTTAGTGATTTTTGTTTTAATACATTATATTTTTTAACGTTTGCATTATTTATAAAAATTATTATTTTAACCGAAAGTTTTAGATTTTTGACAAAAAAAAAAAAATGTTTATAATTTTTAAAACGAGGTGGCGGACATCGTCGCGTGACGTAATTACGCGACGAATTTCGAAGACGCGACGCAAATTACGTCACGGTCTGTAAAATCCGATAATTATAAATTTTCCGTCAAACGCGTGAAATAACTAAATATTCCATTTATTAATACTCTTAATCGCTTTTCTAAAATTATTTTTCGAATTAATTTAATTCGAATTATTTTTAAGACGTCGTCTATTTTCATCGATTCGTTAAAGGTCCTTATCCTCTTTTATCGATCGCCGACGTCTTCTACTCGACATTTAGTAACATTAGACTCGTAAATCAGTTTCTTTTCTTCCTTAAATACAATTTAAGGAAGAAGAGGATGATAATTTCGACAAAATTTCCTATACATAATTTAAAAAAAAAAAAAAAAAATATTACTATTGACGTCACAAACCGGAAAAATTTTTAAAATGCCCGAAATGTCAGAATATTTTTAACTATTTGCCTGAAATAATATATAAAATTTCGCATAAAAACTGTGAAAAATTCTCCCTCGTACTTCGTTTTAATTAATAACCCAACCCATATTTTCGAGGAATTAATACTTCCGCCCGTTTTAAAACGGAAAATAAAAAAAAATTCCAAAAAATATTCGAACGATTCGTATTAAATAAGTTTATAAAATAAAATGGCTAAAACATATATTTTAAATATATTCAAAAAATTTGTAATGGAAATAAGTGCGGACGAAGGGCAAGGTTAACATTGATTTCCCTTTATAGATCGTCTACGTAATTTATTAATAGAAAACCGTACTTGCCACAATTAGAAATTAAAACCGAGTCGAATCTATTATAAAACGGGAAGGCTGCTATTTTGTTTAGCGCGTAGCGTAAGAAAAACATTGGTTCCTTTCCAAAAACCTACTGGCGACGTCGATCCCGTTCCGTCGGGCGCATCTAAAAAAAAAAATCACCCGAAAGCACCCCCGTAAAGGGGCCTCGATAACAAAACTTTTAACCTACTGCAAGATCCGCCGTTATGCTTTTTAGCGCATCGATTTGCATTATCGATGGCGTAAACAAATTAACGTTTTAGCACACGTTGTAACCCCCGCGTTAACGCCATTTTAAGGACTCGAGGACGGTTAAATTTTGCCCGAAAATCCCCCCAAAAAACACAGGTGAAAGGCGAAAGATACTACGCAATGGCGTTTGTTTACAACACATCGATTGACGGGACTGCAGTCTAATAGAGAGAGATTGGATCCTCTTACCGTTTCTGCTACGAAGTCGCAGGCGCTCAGATTCATTATCTTCTCCATTTCTGTTATTTTCTTTTCTTCCATGGTTCCTTTTTTTTTTTTATCTCGCTTTCTAAGCTTCTCGAACAAAGGACACACACACGGCTTTATATGTTACTCTAACGACGAACGGTATCGACTGGACGTGTGTTGGGTCACGTCGCTGCGTAGCTCGGCTTATAGGGGGTATCGACCAATCACCATACAGTGAGGGGTTGCGGGCTATGACCTTCTACAAAACGTCACCGCTGTTTTGGGCAGGCCAAAATATTTTCCTAGCATCTTTATTGTTACGGGGACGTTTAAATCTATCTTGCGCCGACGAAAATAAGTAAACGAGAAAGAAGAAAGAAAGAAAAAAAAAGCCAAGTTCTGCATTGTTGGTGGGCAAACGCAATTGTGATGTCACCGACTGCAACGTGCCGAGAGAGGAAGGAGGGGTGCGATTTTTAGAAATAACCAACGAGACGGAGCTAATACGTAGAAAACGAGAGAGGTGAAAATTACTACCGGATGTTGACGTGAGATATGTCAGGTTCGCGACGTCCTTCGACTGGTTTAGTCACCTTCCCCGCATTTGCCCGATAGTACAAAACAAATTTATTCACCTACTTTTAAATGCCTAGTCACGATTTAAACCTGTTGATTTTATTATTTAAATTGATTTTTATATATTTATAGAAAGTGATAAAGAACTACGTATAAACACACGTACACAAGAGATATTTAAACGTAACTACATAATGCTCTAAACATGGAAAATAATGAAGATAACGCATAGCTTTGGAGTTTTTGGAAAGAAATGTTTAAAAAAAACTTGAGAAATTTTCGAATTATTTATGAAAAATACTTGACAACATAAACTATTCTCTTGTATAGCGACATTCTTTTGGCCGTGGAAAGTACTGAAGGAATTTAAAATATGTGTAGCCTGTATATAAAAAATAAAACTCGTTTTGTAATGTTTGTATTGTAGTGAAACTCTAAATATATATATATTGTAGATGTTGTAAAAGGTGAGGAAATAAAAGGAGCAAAAAATGATGTCACTTCGGTTGCAAATTACAGCACGCTTTTCACGACCAGTTGAATATAAGTGCATGCTAACCTTGAAAAGGGAGAGGAACATTAATCCTCTGTTTAGTCACAATAAGTTGCTTTTGAAATTTAATTTATAGAATTTTATTACTGTCAGTTTTTTAATGAGTTGGAAATCTTATGTTTATGTAATTACATTTTCAATAAAACATTTAAAATTTTATATAAATAATCAATGGTAAACATAATCAAAGGTGTTTTAGATAGGAACATGAATTTTGCATGTTTTAAATGTAAAATTTTATACAAGCTTTTCTTGTAACGTTATAAATTATTAGATAAAAATCTCATAATCATGCTTCATTTGTAATTTAAAAAAAAAAAAAAAACACTTAGACAATATAATTACTAGAAGTAGGTTAATCATGAAAGTATATTACATTGTAAACAGCAATGGTCATCATTTAAATATCCATAACCTTTAATGATTAAACTAAATGACCTATAAACAATAACAAAAATTTATTAATTAGACATTGGTAATAAATTTTATGGTTATTAAGTTAATAAATTTAATAACTACAAAATTGAAATATCTTTTATAATCTAAATATACATATTTTAAACCTAGAGAATACTAAGTTTTTAGATGTTTATTTAGAGCAGTGTTTCTCGGTCTTTTGAAAATTGGCGAGCACTTCGGTGTTTTCTCGGCTACGTGTGGCACCGATGACAAATATGTAGGTATATACAAAGGTATGTACTTGTCTAAATATTTAGGCAGATGTCTACATTAATAAACAGCATATAAATTTTTTATTGAGCAATGGTTTGCATGCACCGCTTGCATCTTTGTGGAGCACTAGTCGAGAAATAACGATTTAGAGTACGAACGTAACTTATTTCCTTGTAATTTTAACGTGTTTTATAAAATTTGTATCGTTACAGATATTACCGTGTAACAAATTAATAAATATTCAAAAATAATGTTATAGATTTTTTTTGCATACTCATTGTTTTGACTTAACTAAAAGTGATTTGTTTTTGACTATCATTGTATAATCCAAAGAAATTAAATTTAGATTGGTCGTGAGCAACCCGGAGCTTCGGCAAAGTAATCTTTTTTCTGTTTTGCGCCAAAGTGGACGAACAAAATCGCACCCCAACGAGCACAGAAAAACCCCACTTTTTTTGCATTTCTTGACATTTCGAGGTCCCAAGTCCAAAATCGTAAAAATCTTGTAAGGCCATTTTTTCACCAATTGCCATACTTTTCCTCTGTTATATACAACAGCCAATAAAGTAATAGAATTTGTGTAAAAGTAAGTAATGAATGCCATTGATGATTTAAGCAGTATTTTAAATTATTTTAACAAATAACTATGGCATTCATTATTAATATTTATAAAAAAAAAGCAGTAAAATAAAAATTTGTTTCCTTTTATTAGAAAATATCAAATATAATAAGCTTTTAATTTATCAAAAAACAGAAGTTAGTCTGCAAAATAAAGCTTTTAGCACGAATATTTTTTTAAAGTATATTTTTAAATTACATGTATTTCATAATATTGACATAAGAAAAACTAACTACAAAGTATAATGAATTGCAATATAACTGTAATGAATTTTTTTTGTTATTAATCTATTATAAAGATAATTATAAAATCAGTAATAATAATATATACGTATAAAATAAATTAAAAAGAATAGGATGTTCTTTCTAACTTGTTTTGATATATAAAATAACATTACAGTTTACATCACAATCAGCTTGATAACTGAGTATATTAAGTAAATTATGTTTAGCTCGAAATTTTTATATATAATTATAAGAAAATTGCAAAAAGGGCTGATTGTAATACTTTTTAAATTTTCTACCATAAAGAAATTAATATTAGCTTTTTTTAAAGCCTATGTTTTTACGTGTTTTTCGCTTCTAGAAAAGTATTAATTCCAGAGACTGTTTCATAAATATTAGGATAAATTAAAATTGCGGTGGCAGATGTTATAGTCTCTCCCATAGCCAGCATGTTATTAGAGTGGGGTCTCCGATATGGTCGATACAAATTCCCAGGAGTTAAGATATTGATGAACTTTTATGATCATTATTCTATAGATGTTTGTATTATTTAAAAACATTCCTGATAGTGGTCAGTGAGATTCAAAATTGTGAGTTTAGTGATCCTTGAGGTCAGAAAGGTTGGCGACTGCTGCAGAATGTTCCAATTTGTCTATTTCTATCCAAAAATATTCTAATTTGTATGGGAAATGGTCAAATAAGAATTGTAGGCAGTAGGTGTCTGAATATGTTATACAAACATACACATTATGTTCTGTTGACCGTATGTAGTGCTGTTTGATGGTTTCAAAACTATCGTTTGCTTCGGGCAATCATCAAAAATCGTAAAATGATTAATTCTGGCTATAATCTAGCTTTTATTTTTTTACTCTTGCCACTCTATGGTACTAGCACAATCTTTATTTTTAATCATGTCCATCATGGGTTAGACTCAATGGAAAATTAACCATTAGGCAGAGTAGACATAAGTCTAGTGGCCCAGGAGAGAGAGAGAGAGAGAGAAGGTCACTAGAGCAAAAAAGAAATTGTAATAATATATCAATTAAACTATGATATGTTATTAAGTAACTTAATGTCATTTTATTCTACTCAACAAAAGGTGGAACAGAAGGCAAGACCAAGAAGAGCTTTACTAAAACTTATCCTAGGGGCTAGGTAATACTTAATATGTTCACTGATTGATTATTCAATAATATTAGTTTAATTAGAACTATTCATTTATTTTCCAGAATAGTTACTGCCTGTTTAATGCTGGCACACTGCCAACTCACACTGTCCTGGATTTCTAGTTTTGAACTTATGGCAACACTAAGTAGATTTTATCTATAAAAACAGTGTATGGATTAATAAATCTGGTGAGCCAGTATTAATAATATCATTGTCATTAACTGTATAAGCAAAATAAATAGGGGATCAATAAGAAGTTGAGGAATTGTCAAAGGAGGCAAAAAGGTTTGGAGATCTCTGCACTAACTACATAACTGAGTGAGAATTCTAAATTGAGAATACAGTGGATCAGTGATATCCAGCAAAGCAATAGCTGTAAATATTCACAAAATTCACAAACACAACTGTCTATTAAGTGGGCTCACTCCTTGCAATGAATACACTGCATCCAATGCATATCCATCCATCCGTCTCCAAATGTTTTGTTACAAATCAAACACACCACATTATAGATTTAACACATTACAATCTACCCCATATTATACTTGCTATTTTTCCACTGTATGGCCATATTTTTACTTCAAAGATCCAGGTAATCATCACATGTTTAGGATTTACACTGATGGTTCCAAGATGGGTGACGATGTGGTTTGTAGTTTACTCCAACTTAGACCACGAGCTCCACAACACTTGCTTCCATCTAGGTACACACTGCTCAATAGCACAGGCAGAAACTTTAGCTATTTATATGAACTTAATTCACATTAGGCGTAGGAAGGAAAACAGACACTACTTACACTGTCGCATTTATTATGACAGTAGGGTAGCTTTATGCAGGATTGCAAAGTCTGATAGCTGCTTAAAACTCGTCCATCTCATACAGCACATTCTCAGACACGTAGACAACAATATTAGAATATTGTTAATGTTAAAAAATAAACAAATAAATAAATACAAAAAAAAATAATAATAAATAAATAAATTTTTTGGGGTCTTGCTCGTTTGTCTTTGTCAGTCTGTTCATCTTGTCTAGTTTGTCATTCTGTTCGTTTGCTTTTTGCACTTCTGTCTAGCTGTTAAGTAGTTTTTAGTTTCACAATCATGTTCAGTTTTATCAGTATTAAGTAGATATAAGTCTTCCTACTAACAGCCACTTGGCACTAACTTCTACACTTAGCTATTTGTGGCAGCACTTAATTATTGGTGTCGCTATGCTCAGATCCTTTTCTTTTCTTTTAGACCCTTTGGAGGACTTCGGCCTTGCAGCCTAAAAACTGCATGCCAACATCAAACATAGAGGGTACTGTCGCCTTATGTACACCATTCAGAGGGATCCTATCTTTCTCTACTGTCTATCTCCTCTCCCTCCTTCTCCTCCCCTTTCCCTTACCCTCTTTTCTGCCAGCTAAACATTTCGTGTATGGCTGGTGCCTTTTCTTGTATGTATGTATGTATTCAATTGCTGAAAAACTAATCCTCTATACCAGGGGTTCTCAACTGCGGTCCATGTAACATTACTGGGGGTCCACAGAAAAAAAAATACCAAATTGGGGTTCACTGTGATATTTTAATGGTCTTTAGGGTAATTCTACTTCAGAACAATTGTTTTACTGAAAATTAAATTTCTACAGTATATACAGTATATTGTCTATTTATTTATTACTCATTTCTTGCATAAGCATTAAAATATAAATTATTTAAAATGTTGAATATATAAACAATACATACATCTCATTGACAAAGGTCAAAGAGAGATTATAAAACTAGGGTCTGTTAGGAGAATCTTGTACCATCAGTGTCATGTCACTTTACAGTGACGTTTCTGAATGCTTTGCATCAGTTTGTTCCAGATCTTGAAGATTACAGAGGTTATAAACTTTATAGCCTCCCTCCAGTATAAACTCCATCTTGACAAGGCAAGAGGTATTAAAAGTGCTAATTCATAAATACAGTAGTTACTTTTTCTGAAATTCAGAGCTTCAGTATTAAAATATTTTTCCAATTTGAAACAATGTAACAAAAAAATATATAAGGTTTTTTTCTGTGCAATGTATTCAGGGTCCAAAAAAAAAAATTAAGAGGAAAAGGGGGCCATGAGTAAAAAAAAGGTTGATAACCCCTGCTCTATACTTTTCAATAATCAACCTTTTAAACTGCCACACTTACATAGATTAAACTTAAATATAAAAGACAGAAAAACAATATTTTAAAAAATGCTACATATACATTTACTTACTTGTAATTTCACATTAACTACAACATATTCCATATATGGCAAAAGGGAGAGATGTATATACATCATAGAGGCAAATGCATGTAAAATTACACATATATATATATGCATGTATATTTTGATCACATAGATTTCTTCAAATACTTCACTGTATTTGAATTTTAACATAATCTATGCAATAAACATTACAAATACTTTTTGCAGTTTTAAAATACTAAAAATATATTATTCAAAATTTTTTTTAAATTATAGTCTTGACTGAACCAATAAGAAATTTTTCTTCTTTATGCAGTAACATTATTAAAAACTACATTTTTGTTAATGCACATAAATTATAAATAATAAGCAAACAAACATTTAACATTTAAAAAATCTACATTTAAAATTCTAAATTATCACAATACAGTACTTTTTATTTACTTATTAATAATATAGTTTGTTACTTACGCAAGTTTTATTTAACCTTATTTAAATCTTTAATTAATAAATGATTATTTAAGCAAAAATCACAAACAGTATACCAATTTGTAGATATTAAACATCCGCACGTCTTAATCTGTGGTTCTTCGTAAAAAGAATTGTTAGCAGAATATAAACGCCTGCAAATAAAAGTTTTTACATTAAATAACACTGTTAATAACGACATATTACATTTTAAATTTTTATTTTATTGAAGAGAAAAACTTCTCAAAGTTGCGCTTCAAAATTATGTACTAAAAATATTCAGTTTTATATAAAAACCATTTTCCTTTAACTAAAAGCTGATCGTCGAATTTCTGGATTTGTTTTGCGTAATTTACTATTAACAAAAATTCAACCTAACTTTCTTGCTATATAAAATAACATAAAAATGTTTAATAGAATATTCTTGATGCATGCATCTATGAATAATATTTATAACTCATTAATACAAAAATAAAATATAATATATTTAATAAAAATCTTCCCCTTCGTAATTAAACTTTTCATTTGTCCGAAATAAAGATGAATCCAAAAATTATTAAAACTCAAACTGGAATATCACATTCAAAACATAAAATAGGGCATATTGCCTAATAATGTAACTTCATTATAAAACAATTCAGGTTATTTCTGTTTTATGTCGGCCACTGCAGCATTAGTGCTCAAGGTTCAGAAGTTCAGAAGAAAAGTTAAGATGGCTTCCTCCAACAACAAAATATTAGTAAAATTTATGAAACCACGAGATGCAGACGTTGACGTGGTGTCAAGAAGAATTCGAAATTTTTGGTTCATCCAGTCTTGAGTTGTGTAAATTTAATTAAAACAAGCAATGCAAAGCCCAATAAATATATAGAATTATCATCACGTGATTAACTGCATAAGGTTATATTCAAATTTAAATAATACATCTGGAAGTGAAGACTTGCTCGGGATCTGGGTGGCGCAACTGGCAAGCGCACTGCACGGCAAGCAGAGGTTGCGAGTTCAAGCTCCACCCCAAGTCAGTTCTTTTCTTCCAGATGGTTCTAAATTATTTAATAAATAATTAAAATTATAATTATTGATTAATTTAGTTAAGAGATGGCACCTAATATCTACCTCTAGTAGCAAATTACTTTGTATTAATTATTTAAAATAGGCAGAATTATAGCCCAATTGCTTGGTAATGTTTGTACATTTAATCTATCCAAGTATTATCTTAATGACAAAATAGAATATAAATTAGTTCAAAAATCTGAATGTAATGGAACATAACTGGATCCTCTGTGGATGGACTAATAAGCATGAAAGTAATTAAGAAAGGTTTTTACATAATGAGGCAGACAAAGCCTCAAAGAAAATGTTGACTCCACAGTAAAGACTGTTTTATTACTGAGGTTGTGAGAAAGGATGAGATGTGAAGACTTTTATTGTTGCTTACATATTGTGTGAATAATTTTTATACTATGAATTATTATAAAAAGGCAAAAAGGCTTAATTCTGAAAGTAGAGATGAGTTTCTAAAAATTGTAAATGCCAATGAGCAAAATTCTCATTAAGTCTGACCCAACACACAACTCTTCATTTCCTCATTCCCTTGAGCTTAAACTACCAAAATATAATACATTCAATGCCCTGTATGTAGAAATAACTTTCATGTATCTAACTCTGTTCTACAGATTAAGAAAGGAGAGACGGTCGACAGTGGGAATTTATAGATCTATAATTTTTCAAACTGCAACCCAATAACCTTTGTAGTTATATAAATCAAATACTATAATATAACAAACATTAAAACCATATAAAGAGTTTAATTATTTTAGCCTACCTAATTCAGAAAATTTTTTTTTTACTTTAAATATTTGATCTGCTTTTTCAAAATTCGATTTGCTGGCAGATCACCACTTGATATTTGATTGTAAATATTACAGTTTCTTAAAGTTTACATTAGGATAATATATGAAATTGTGCCTTTTCATACCATTTGAGTATCATGATAAATATAACAATGGTAAGCTAAAATAATAAATTTTATATTATACTATTTGATTTATTTGATACTGCTTGATCAGTTGAAAAGTACTAACATTTTGTTTATTTTTTCTAAGTATGGTAGAGACACAGACAGAGCCTTTAAAATATAGACTGTCAATACCACATACTATGGTAACTCTACTATTTATTTCTTTGCTTAACTTTCCATCCTTTGATATTTCTGTTCAGGTATCTAGAGCTGTCAACATCCTCTACTAAGTCTCCATTTAGTTTGATTTTCCTTCTCCCCTCCCGAGTTCTCCTTGACATCACTACTGTCATGCTTTTCTCTTCAAAAACAAACTTCTTGGCGGTAGGAGAAAAATGCCTTTGAGAATAGCAATCTCATCAGAACAACAGCCTTCACGAATAGTCAAAGTGGACCGAGGACTATGCATAACAGATATATGTTTTGTAAATATATTTCACAATTATTTCATTAATTACTTGAATTACCGCAGCCATATTACAATTTGTAAATTAGCAGTAAATATGAAAAATTGTTCTTATTGATAAAAAATAAATATGTATGATTTTCATAAGAAAATTCTGGAATCATTACCTTAATGGACTCGGTATTTCAAAAGCAAAACTGATATGTGATAACACCAATTTGGATATCAGACGAATAGCAAATGGAAACCAATGAATACCATCTGTTTCTCTTAAATATAATAAATCTTTAAGATAATAATGAGCATCTAAAATATCATATCCATTTTTGAAGACAATCTGAAAGATATATATTGATATATTGTTTTATATTATACATTTTTTCCAATAATACAATAAACAAATTATGAATGTAAAATTGAAAATATACACAGATTATTCCTTTCTAAAATTTCAAACTTTCTATATAATAAAATCAATTTTCACTATTAAAAAAGAATAAAAATTAACTTATTTCACTCAAATCTCTTTAAACATGCAAGATATATTGTAATTCAAAATGAAGAAATTAAAAGAGGCACACGCAAAAGACAATTTAACTTACACAGCCTATCATCTTGTTCTATGAACAATGTACTAGTACAAATGTAGAAACAGAAACTGGAAAAGCATGAAGAAAACAAAGATCAAGAAATAGCTTTATTTTACTATCTCAATATACAGTATACTTCTTAACAGTTTACAGAAAAGATAAAGTTAGGAAATCTTTTGTCTCTTAAAAAAAATTAATTACGAGAAACACTATTCCTTTATTTATATTTGTATTATGTCTTAACTGCTATGAAAAAGAACAAATCCATGACTCTTTACAATTGTCTTTATTGCACTTCTTTTACATAAGACACTAACCAGACAAAGGGCCAAGATTACTCTGTTAGCTTTTTTTATATCCCCTACACTGAGGCAATGATGCTGCCAATATATAACAGATTTCTCCTCTCTTACAAAATATTCAAGATAGTTTGGTTAATGGCAAACATGTATTTGTCTTTCGCTGAGGGTTAATTCCTTCAAAGTTGTTTCTTCTTTTGGTTCAAAATTTGTGTCATCAGTGTATCTTTTGGTAAGGAACAAGGAATTACTTGGTCTTGATGTCAATGCACTACATCACCTACAGGAGTTGATACTTCACAAGTCACTGGTCCTGGCATGCTAGCAATATCTCCAGGCATCCACTTTTCATCCTTGTTCTTTTAATTTCTATAAAGCGTGGGATCACCTATCTTTCCTTGCAGATGGGACATAGGAGCAGTGAATTGTTTGGACTCTTGTTTTTTTATGCACTTCCAAATTTAGATCAGGATGTAAACAATCTAGGCGAGTCACGAATTTCCGGTTCATGAAAAGTTCTGCTGGGGATTTTCCTGTTTCTGACGAGGCACCATTTGTAAGGTTAAAAGAATACACGATAAATTTACTTTCCAGTCTTTTTTCCTCCTATTTCGTCTGATCAAATTCTTTACAGTTTGAATAATGCGCTCTGCTTGTCTATTTGTCACAGGGTGATATGGAGGAGATCTAATATGACAAATGTAATTTTTTTGTGACTGAAAAATATGCCATTATCTGATACAAGTGTATCAGGTATGCCATATATGAAGAATAGATCACATAGCACAATTATGTTTATTGTAGATGTTGTAGAATTGATGTTGTAGATGTAGTCAACTCATTCTTCAAGTGATGATTCTGGTCACATGGATAATGAGTTGACCTGTACAAAAATATTTTTTTAATTGATCGTTCCATTACTAGTTTCTGTGGATTTTTTAAAAAGCCTGAAGTTTTTTGGCTTTCTTTCAGTAACTTATCACACAAGAAATTCTTATTGATATAGGCTTTATTAATAGAAATGCATTTCGTGTCTTAATAACTCCTCTCCAGTCCTTATTTTTTTTATACAGATCTTATCAAAAGAAATAATAGTTATAAATTACATCATACAAACGTGTTTACAGATAATATTTTTTTTTTTTAAATCTTTTTTTATTTACATTAGCTGATTACTAAATACAAGTTGAAATTAAAAATTGGGCAATTTACTGAATATATTAAAAAATTTGTTTAGAAAAGGTTGACGTACAAGATAAAATTGAAGTAGATAAGTAAAATATATTAAATAAATAAAATTAAAAAACTTTTTTCTAAAAAATAATGTAAATTGCTATTACCTATAGATGGGTAATATTACAAGTTGGATACAGTTTAAAACAAATTTTAAAAAAAATTAAACAAATACAAATAATTTTTGAATAAAATTAATAAATAGAAGTAAAAAAATTAGGTTTAAAAGCTTTTCTTCAAAAAAGTTGAAATTAAAGCTTTTAAAACCATTATAAAATTGTACAAATTAACATAAATTGACAAAAATACAGCACTGAGTATGAACGGATGGGATGAGGGACGTTTGGATGGGATTTCAAGTGGAGACTCTACCTGTTATGAAGTGGTTGTCATATTCACTAATAGTCAGACTGTCATTTAAGTTGATGATCTAACTATTATAACTTAATATAACTTAAACAATGTTTAAGTATGTTTATTTTGGTTGATTACATACATAGCTATAGTTATGTATGTAATCAACTAGAATATGGATAACTAGAAAATACTAATATATACATAAAATTTTTATCAGTTTTGCATATTTCTTGAGTATTACATTAAAATTTATACCTAGAAATAATGTCATCTGGTTTTAGATCTTATAACAAATGAATTTTGTAAGGGAACATCAAAAGTTGTTTTTTGAGAATACATCAAACAGGTCGTCATCAGACAACATTCTGTTCCCGATGATGGCCTTAAACAAGTTTAAAACATTTGATTTTAGGAAGTTTTGCTGGAATTAAGAAGGTTTTTTTTTTCATTTTATTCATTTTTATAACTACTCTCCAGTTGAAAATTCTATCACAGCATCTTAGTACAGTCAACCTCCTTTAAACTGCCATCATTGGTTTTCAGGCTAGGTGAAAAGGTGAGGATGGTGGTTTATCAAAAATAGCATGCAAATAGGAATGTCAGGATAACTTTTCCTTCATTGTATATTACATGAATTGTTTTTTTCTTATTAGAAATCAGCCCATAAATATTAAATATAAACATTTAAGCAGGACCGTGCCGTGCTATGATGCAGAGATGCGGCCGCATCAGGCGGGACTGTGAGGGGGCGGCATAAAAAACATTTAAGGGACAGAATTTCAAAGACTTGCATCATACTTGGAAAATCTATCGCACAGCCCTGGTAAGATACACCAAATAATAAGAATTATAGCCTATATAAGACTAATAATTTATATAAGGGGCGGCAAAAAAACATATAAGGAACGGCATTTCGAAGACTTGCATCATACTTAGAAAATCTACCGCACGGCCCTGCATTTAAGTAGTTTGATCTATATTATTTCCTCGAGTCATGGAGATAAATGCATCCAATGAGTTGACATGCATCATACATTCCTTATTAGATGCACTTACCTCCAGAAAATGCTGAATTCTCTCTAAATAAGCCTGAGCTTCTTTCACAGTTAGTAGAGGATTTTCTATGCCATCATTGTTGCAATCATCATTTTCTTCCTGTAGTTGACTATCTTCTTTTCACACAAAGTTAACTATATCTTCTGATGCTAACTTCACAAAATTATCCTCATTATGGTCAATTTCAATCAATGTTTCAGTAAGTTGGATTGTAGAAGTGATGTTTGAAAGATAGCTGATATCACTAACTAACATTTGAACACTGTTATAATCCTTGTCAATTTGTGCCTTCTCACTGAATAGGCCAATAAGCAGCCAGAAATTTTTTTATTGTTCTGGATGTCACTTCGTCTCCTGATTTTTTAATTAGCCACAGTGCAGATTTCAGGAACATCTCAATAGAAATTCATCATTGATACTGTGATTTCAGCGAGTTATATAAAGGCACACAATACAGATTAGATAACATACAACACAATTATTTATTAACTCTCTAGTTCAAATACAGGATTTCATAGGATACCAACAACTCTAGTTGTCCCTTTTCCCGAACCGAACATCTGATTAACTAAAGTTATCTTACTTAATACTAGGTTCCTACTACTGTACTACTTAAACTAATTGAACGTAGCCGGCTTATTCGAAGATTTAGAAGGTGAAAGAAAAGAATAAGGAAAGAGGATGATGCAGGTTGAATTGTGTGGGCTCGTGGATGAGGCTTCTCGTCGGTCTGGGGGGGGGGGCTGATTCACTCAATTCTTGTTTCACACTGAGATATTAATCCAAAGGGGCGATCCGTCTGGTTCTTCTCATTTTAGTTCCTTTTTCTTCCTCGTTCTAAAGTTATCTATTTCTCATCTCACCATACAATGTCCAACTTACAGGGAAGGCTTTCCTTACGATCTCCCCTATCCACTTCTCTCCTCTCCATCTCCCGTCCTTTCCCTTCTCCTCTCACTTCCCGTCTGCCCTCCTTTTTTCTCTCCACTCACTCCCTTCGTTCTCCCCCTTCTTAACTCCCCCTCGTTCCTCCTCTCACCTTAGTCCACTCATATTCCCTCTCAAAAGCTTTCCATTCATTCCTTTCCTCTCAGCCCACCCACACACTAAAGTCAATGGGAAAATGATAACATTATAAAAGAGTAAACAAATAGGGCAGACGAAGGTGAAGTGAAGATATATATACATATATACATATACGGTTTAAAATACGGTTTAAAATATGGCGTGTAGCCACAATACATTTGATAAATTTTCTTACTTGGTGATGTCTTTAGTTAGATTTAAAACTTTTTATTATGCCAGCATCAAGTAGTTGCAGAATTTCCGTGCAATTTGCCAGAAAGAATTGTATTTCCACATTGTTTAGATTGACTGTCTTATGACAGGGTGCATTATCAATTAATAGCAGGACATTATGTTTTTTTCTCTCTTCATATCCATATTAAAATCTTCAACAAATTCTTGGAAAAGTAGGGCTGTCATCATTCCCTTTTGTTGTGGCAATAAATAGAAGGATCAAAACTTTTAAAACAACAAGGCTTTGTGAATCTTCCAATAACAGTTGCAATTCTCTTATCACTATCATCTGAATTACAACACAAGGTAATTGTGATTCTATCTTTATTCTTCTTGCAGGCTTTGTATTCACATACAAATGTATTAGTAATTGTTTTGTAAGTTGTAATCAGTAAAATAAAGCGATATATACATATTTCATATCATACCACTATTATTGTCAACAGGCTAGTTCTTCCCTTTTCTGCAATATCCAAATCAGCTTCAAGCAAACCAAATCAAGCAGTTTATCATCTTCCTTTCACTGTGATAAATCATGATGCCGTTTTAAACCAATGCAGCCACCCATTGCTATAATATTTCAGCTTTCTTATCACATCATCTGTGACAGTGCCATTCTTTGCATTTACTTGCATAATCCATATCACTAATGCATTTTCAAGTTTGTCATTTTCCATTTTTCTAGGGGGGCTCTATTTTCTGCATTCATCCACTTGCTTTTTTGGTTTAAAATATTGCCTACAGTCAATCTATTTACATTTTTCTTCCAGACAAAAGTGATTGGCAATATATTTTTGAAAACAGGATGGATAGGTATTACTATGGACATAGATTTCTTGCTTTTTGCTAACTGTAAGTATAGTTTTATTCTCCACTGCATAAAAGATAAATAATCAGTGTATAGTACATGTACTGTACAGCAAGAATTCAGAGCTCAAAAATATCTAAACAGTTTCAGACTCAACTGACAGAATGTCTGTCCAGCTCTCTTTAACTGTTATTTGGGGCCTTGTGCAGATCTTAATCATTGTAGCAGTCACTCCTAACTGTCAATTGAGAAAGAAAAAACATTACCAAAAACTTCTTGTCTCTTGCATTTTAAAATTGCTGGGAACTCCCATTATGACAATATTTTACCTTAATTTTTGCAACAATAAAAAATTGTGGCAATTTATCCAAAACATTTTGTACAGAAAACGACAACTTTATTTTAAATCATAATTGGCGAATGGCAAGAAATGGGGTGGCAGTTTATACTATTGATTTACTATGGAATAAATCATTTTTTCAGACTTTTGGCAGAACATCTTGGCTGACTGTATATTATTTTCTAAATTATTACAGAAAATATATTATTTTCTAAGACTAAATACAGTTTTAAACACCATAAAAAAAAATGATACCTCTTGTGTATACTGATTAGCCTTCAACACATGAAAACACATAGAATTTTTAATTAGTTCAGTTGGTAATTGAAGTAAACCATTTTCATTTTTATGCTGCTGAGGAAATGTTGTTATCCAAATAAGCAAACAGTCTTCTGGAAGATTTTCTTGGCACAGTTTCATCAATTTATTTAAACTGATTTTGTATTTTCTTACTTCTAATTCAAACCAGCTATAAAAAAAAAATATAATCTTTACTAATAAGTTACAATTATATAAATATATAATCAAAAAGTTATTATAAAGGATGTTTCAAAATGATTTGAATGATAACGACACATTCTATCAGGAATATATTACCATCAATAGAATAGCCAGTGGAATACATTGAAACACATCCTCAAAGTTTATTTCTAAACTGGCACAATAGTTCATAATTCTATTGCCAGGTGGCAGACAAACTACTTGTGAAAATGACTGCCAGCGGTGAGGGGAAAGCATTTTGCATCTTACAGTATCATTTCAGTAGGTCAGTGTTGAGAGTGCAATGTCAATTTCATACAAAATTTCACATACAACCACCAGCAGAGAACTATTTGAAAATGGTATAATCAATTTCAGCAAACAGACTGTCTTTGTAAAGGTAAATCATCTAGCAGACCTTCAACTTCTGAGACCAATGTGGAGAAAATTAGAGCGTTGTGACTTTATTAAGCCTTGTCATTTATTTTTCATTTTCCTTATACCATCTTCCTGCAGTAAAACTGTACTTCCAGCTTCTATTTCCCTAAACCACACTGTAGTTGGTTGACCCATGTGGTCTAATCTGTTATAAAACAAAAGGGGGTGACACCTGATTGGTCAAGGGGCAGAGGATGGAGGGAGATTCAAACAGAACAAAGAAGACATATTCGGGGAGAGAGCTAGGAGATGTACGTGTCGACAAGTACGGAAGGAAAACCCATACAACGGAACAATCTGAGGTTTTTATTATTTCATTGTCAGTCACGCCTTTGAACCTTCTCCTTCTATAAATACTTTTATAATCCTATGATTCTTAACATCTTTCCTTTTACTTTTGGGTCCAGTTATTTGTAAAAATTAGTTAAGTTAGACCTATGATAGAATAGATTCTTTGTTTATCAGTACTTGAGAATCCATATGCTGTATTTGTTATGATCGGTCCCAATTAATCTTGTAAATTCATTGTTCGAATGATTGCTTCTTTGGAACTTTAGTTATTTTTTTGAAAATTAAACTTGTTTATCAATGCCGAACGTTTCCCTGGATTCTGTTATTTATTACACAGCTACAGCATTTTCAGCATAGCCCTCAAAAGTCTACAGAAAGAACAGGTTGGAAGTTTGCAATTTCCAAAACAACTGTATTTTGTGTATTGTGTACAGGATACACAATACTCAATAAGGATGCAATTTACATCCTTATTGACTCTAGTTGCTGCAGCATCTAACACTAGCAGATTTTTGCAGAGTAATAAAGGAAGCTCAAATTGAGCATTTGTGACAGCCAGCTTCATGTTACCCACTGACAATTAATTAGATAATTCCATAATATGTGACATTATTCTAATCATTTTGAAACACTGTATAAATCAATAAATAAATCAACTTTTAACTTATTTATATATGTACCAATATATACTAATTAAATTTACCATTTAAAAATATTTCAATAATATAATTGAAAAGAGATATCACTAATATAAATGAAAATGAATATAAAGCTATAAATCAATAAATCCAGTTTAAAATTGAATTTGTAGATAAAAAATTGTAAGATCACTTTAGAATTTAAAGCTTGATTACAAGAGTATGCATTATCAATATTGGTTAAACAATAATGATAATGTTTTACACTCTTGAAACCATGTTGGTGATTATTTTGTCTTTTGAACACTATATAGTGTAAATACATGAACACTTGGCAATCTTCATCTTAAGTTTATCAAGTTTATTAAGTCATCGAAGGAAAATGCATATGACCAAAAATTAAGACAACAGATATGTAGACAAAATACAAGTTGGCTGAGGAGGGACCTACATAAGCCCGAAACGTGTACAAAAACAGGTACAAGTATCAACTAAAAACCGAATAAACTTAAGGTGAAGATTTCCAAGTGTTCGTGTATTTACACTATATAGTGTTCAAAAGACAAACTAATGATAATGTATAATAAAACAAATAACCTGAATAATATTTTTCATATTTTTGTCATAGTTCCCAGAAAATCAATTCAGCCTTCATTACTGGAAAGCATGATTGTTGATTTAACAATCAATAATAAAAAGCCATTTGAAAACTTTGTAGGCAAAGGAACTGGGCACTGAAGTGTGATGTGGAGTCAAAGCTGTTGAGTATAGTCGATATATATGTTCTTCTCATCAGTCGTAGAGAGAAAAGTTGTCAATATTCTCATGGTCGCTGATGTTATTCCTGCGCACGACCCTCTAGTGGAATTCACTCCCTCAACTTAATCAAAATTATTATTTTCATAAGCAAGTCATAATATATGAATATTCAGATGCATATTGCTCAGTAAGAATGACAGGAAGAGTCATAGGAGAGAAACTAAATGTTACAAATTGAACAGAAATTTAAATATCAAAGGATAATATTCAATTGAATGAAAATACATTATTAATTAGTTTTATACCATTTTCAAACATAATAATAATGAAAAACAATGTTTTTCTTTTCTCCATTGCTTTCATCCTAAAATCTATTCCAACTATTATGGTAATGTTTTATTTCCATTCAATTCATCAGTATCTCTTGAACTACAGTTAAATAACTGACAATTCAATAATAATTAATTCTTCTTATATAAAAAAATTCTCAACATTTATTATGCAAAAAACTTCCAAAATTTGTTTAGGCTTCATTCATTCAAATGATATTAACATTTATCATGACAATATACCAAAATTGCTTTCTATTATTGGTTATCAATTGTTAATCGTGCTTTGAAAATTACAATAAGATTAAGTTTTCTTTAAAAAATATAACAAAAATCTGAAAAATTTTTAATATTTATCTTATTTTCTTATCAGAGAATTAAAGTACAAAACACAGTAAAATAATAATGAAAACAATCACTTTCACTCATTTCACTAATGCATGTTTTCTTATTATAGCGTGATTTCTGCGAGTTATATAAAGGCACACAACCCAGATTTGATAACATAAAATACAATTATTTATTAACTCGCTAGTTCAAATACAGGATTTCATAGGATACCAACAATTCCAGTTGTCCCTTTTCCCGAACCGAACATTCGATTAACTAAAGTTATCTTACTTAATACTAGGTTCCTACTACTGTACTATTTAAACTAATTGAACGTAGTCGGCTTAATCGAAGATTCAGAAGATGAAAGAAAAGAATAAGGAAAGAGGGTACCCAAAACTTGATGATGCAGGTTGAATTGTGTGGGCTCGTGGATGAGGCTTCTCGTCGGTCTGGGGGGAGGGGCTGATTCACTCAATTCTTGTTTCACACTGAGATATCAATCCAAAAGGGGCGATCTGTCTGGTTCCTCTCATTTAAGTTCCTTTTTCTTCCTCTTGTTCTAAAGTTCTCTACTTCTCATCTCACCATACAATGTCCAACTTACAGGGGAGGCTTTCCTTACGACCTCCCCTATCCACTTCCTCCCTCTCCGTCTCCCGTCCTTTCCCTTCTCCTCTCACTTCCAATCTGACCTCGTTTTTCCTCTCCACTCACTCCCTTCGTTCTCCCACTCACTCCCTTCGTAACCATTTTTGTGTTGAGCGCACGGTAGAACCAATATAAACTAAATTTCTTTGGAATCTATTGTCCCTGATGGGAATGAAGTAAACCCCTGGGGCTCTGTTGAGATCTATCACATCTTTAGCGCTGCACAGCAGGCTGTAAATAGTGCAGGTCCTCCTGTACGCGATCTTTGTGTGATTATGGCAAGCAGTCTCCCTGTATAGGGGATCCAAATGTTGATTGTTCATTTCCCGAACACCAAATTAATCAGACAGGCATTTCAAATTGATCACATCCGTCACCTGGTCACCTGGCCTGGGAGATCTACAAAGCAAATGTTGGGGGCACCTGTATCAACTTTAAAGACGAAGAAATGATCGTGCAGGCGTGGAGATACCTATTCGAGGAATTCGAACGGGGACAAGCGGAGGGGTGAAATGTGATACATGCAATATTTACATCTCAGACAACATCATTCTAATGGTCAAGGGAAGACAACACTTAGTCAGCACTTGAAGAAGACCTCAGTGGAGGTCGAAAACGTTAGTGGATATTGTAATGAATACAACACTGATAAAGATTTTTTGTCGACAGTTACCACTATATATCTTTCCTGATACATCCTTCTAGCTACTTGGTTATGTAAATACAACTATATTCACCCTCATATGCAGAACATATCTATATTGTGGCAGTACGCCATGTATTTTGTATATAGTTTATATTTTATTTTAATTAGCTTTAGTTTTCTTTCTGCGTTCCTTTCCCCCCCTTTTTATCTCCTTTCTTCATTCTATGGTCTACCCTCTATGGAGAGTCTCTCCCCGAAATTCCTTTACTTATTCGTTAACGAAAACACCCTAAAACAAGGGGAGGGGTGAGGTAAGAGGAGAAGTAAGGGGGACGAGAGTGAGGAATGAAGTGAGAAGGAGCTGGAGAAGGATTTTGGGAGTGTACATGAGACAAAGGGAGAGTCTGAGAGATGGACAAAAAAATATCCGTGATAGACCCACGGAAATTAAGAACGAATCTTCACATCATAACTGCCGACAGTTGTGTGACTTGAAGAAAAAAAGGGAGATCCTTCCAACTTTATGTAAGACCCTCACTAAGGACATTGCAAGGAGAAACGATCTTCGAAGGCCTTACATACTAGCACTGGGTACCCATTTTCTGAGTTCTAACTTTCCTTTACCTATCCCCTATCTTCTTACCTTAGTTAATATTAGTTTAAGTCTTAGTTATTATTAGTGTTTATAAGATAGATTTAGATTTTCGCGCGATGATTTTCAATAACAGTTCTTTATGTCGCGTCCTATGATTCGGGATTTTGTTTGTATAACCTTGTTCGCGATTCTGATTGTTTCTAACTGTCAGGACATAAAGTTAGCACTGGCATCCTAAAGAAGCCTGTAATTAAGCTTACAACCTTAATTAAAGTTGTTCTTTTTGTCATATTTTGCTTCCACGTGTCTTCCTTAAAGATAAAAACTACATACTTTCACAATATTCATCATCTCAGTTCCTTGTACAAATGAAACTACAAATAATAGCTGCAGCAGTATACAATACAGGATACTCTCATGCCAAATTTACGCATAACATCTTAGTCTATACATCCTTCTCCCCCTCAACTTTATTCACCAAAAATGAAAATATAAATTTAGTATTTGCACATCCTGCCATTCCATATTTATGATCAGTCACAATATGAATTGTTTGCAGTTTCAAAAAATACAAAATAATTTTTCCCATCAAACTGAGTTTTGTCTCTGCATAGAATTATCTGTAATGATGGATAAATTTTCTGATCTAGAGAAATTGGGTGCCTATATAATCCAGGAGTGGATCCAGGAATTTCATTTAGTGGGTGCACTTTGTGTGAATATCAATATCCAAACTCAATTATTTTTAGTTTCATGACAAGAAATAGCAAATCTTACACAAAGAATTTTATTTCAATAAATGTTTAAACTTTGTAAACTTCTACATTCACAAAACACCAGGATGAAATCAACACGTACCTGAATCAGTTACCAGTGTGGAGAAAAGACGAATAAAAATCAAACATTTTCGAACCTTACGTTTTTAAACGTAAGGTTCAAATCCTACATGTTTAAATTGCAAGTGGGTTCGATTTTGTTTAAATATCGATATTCTATTTTATGTTCTACATTCCGTTGCTTTTCATCATCTGAAGAAGAACTAGTAAGGTTTGAAAATGTTTACGATTTTCATTTGTCTTTTCTCCAACACCGGTAACTGGTTCAGGTACGTGTTGTTTAAACTTTCTGAAATTTTAATTCAAATGTACAAAATAAAATAATTATTAAAATCTGTGCTATTTTATCTGTCAGATCTGGCAATGCTGTAGCTATTTTGTTTTCATATCACAGTATCACAGTTCCTTTGTTGAATTTCAACAAAGTTTGTTTGCAAACATGTGCAATTCTTTCATCAGAAAAATCATGCCACAGAAAAGCAAAATGTCTTTCATAACTGCATATAAGGCAGCAACTTCTTTTTGTATTTTGTTAATGCTTTTACTCAGACACCAGAGCAATAACTTGTCACCATTTTAAATTAGGTCAAGTCTGTTAAATCAGCAGTTAAATTGAGTGCAAGTTGTACATCAGCGAGCTAACAGTTAATTGACAGTCTGCATCGTCAGTGGCCGAACCATCAGTCAGCTTGTGTTTGCACACCTTTACGCAATAAGACAAGTGTCACTAAGAATAAGTCACAATTATTCCAGTAGTGGGATTTGCATGTTTAGGGTGTTACCTGCCAGGGAAATTATACCAGTTTGCAATGCACTACGGGATTGAAACTGATGCAAATCTAGCTTTGTAGTTGTACAATGGAAAACTCTTTTCTACTTAGAATTTTGATTTTAGGGAGTGTGTACACACACTCCACACCTGTAATCTCCATGCAAAGATTCAAGCTCTGGTTCAAAAATTTTTATATAGGGGCCACAACCAGACAGTTACAACAAAATCACTTTGAAGAACACAAAGATGATATCTTATATAGTAGGTTTTCCACTGACCTCTCTAGGAATGTATTGGAACATAATTTTTTACTATTACAGTCAGGATCCTCTCTACTCAAACAATGTACAGATTGTAAAGTTATTTTTCACTAGGAGACTTTTTATATAACAACATTCAGCTCATATAATAAGCTCATGCCTGAATCCCTGAATTATAGCTGACACTTTTCAAACCTTAAATTATAGCTTATGTATTTAACGCCTTTATGTTTTCTATAATATTTCTTTAACATTTCGTTTTTATTTTTTATGAATTTTTCCTATTCATGTCACAAGGTAGATGTATATTAATGTCACATTGCTCTCACCTGTGTTCAAAAAATAATTTATATAGTTTGTTTGAATATCACGAAAACTTAACCTTAAAATATTGTTCTTATTCTAAATATGTTCTATTTCACCTGAAGATGATGTTCGTAAAATGTTCCACCTCTTGTATACTTATTGTTAAAGGCAATAACAGTCTTGTTCCATTAGATAAGCATCCGAATAAGTCTGATTGTGCCATTGTTCAGAATGTGCCCTGATTGGTAGAGAAAAAAAAATGATGATTGCTAAGATATAAAAATCAAAACATTGGTATGGCAGCCATCTTTCCCTGTTTTGGGCTTTTTCTCTTCAGACTTAACCATCGAGCAAGATTAGATCATTCAAAGAGGACCAGTGAGCACGTGCAGGAACAAGACAAAAGGACTTTTTATTCCGAGTACTGCACACCACTGTATACATACATTAAAAGGATCAGGTTCTCTTTGGAACAGTTCTTCAGAGACAGCTCTCTAACAGTAAAAAAAGGAAGAAGAAGAAAGTGACTGAAATCAAAATACATTGAAAGTTCTTTACACACTAAATATTGTATAGACCAAAACACTTGAAGGTGAGAACTTCTCAATTTCTGTTAACCCGTGAGGGAGAAATAGTGAATATAGAGAGTGTGATATTGTCAGATTTACATCACCTTATAGAGTGGGATAAGTTTGTTACAATTTATATATAATTTCCATCTAATTGCTCTTGCGCAAAGGCAATTACAAGATCTAGATATTAAAATGTCATCGTGTAGATTTGCCTTAGGATTCTACAGATCTTGGGTGGGATAAGCCTGGTCCCATAAAAAATGTTTGCAATTGGACCCCACAGCTTCTAAGACTGGCTCAAATTCAAAGATTCTAGATCAAGATTATTGAAAAAAAATCAGTGATATCTCTATATTTTCATGTTTTGGATTATTCAATTTCAATTTTTATTCTACACCTTTTTACATAAGAATCCATAAAAACTTTTCCCATAGAAAAATGAAAACATCAAATAATTCATCATAATCTTAGAAAATAAATCTATGTTCTAAGGTTTTCAGAAAACATGCAAATTTTACAATACGAATTTACTATATACAGGTAACCCCCATATAACACGGCACTTCTACAGCACGGATTCGCTCTAACACGGTTCGAGAATTGGTACCATCCCCCGTATAACACGGTACTTTTATAGCACGGATTCACTCTGACACGGTTCGAGAAATGGGTAAAACCCTTGTACAACATGAAATGTAATAAATTTTTACATACTTAAGTACTAATAGTTCACGAAAATTATTATTTTCGTGAACTATGAGTACTTCAGTGTGTAAATTTTCTTTTCTCGTCTTCATACACATGGTCCTTCGCGAAAATTGTTTCAATTTTGCCAGATCTCGATGCTTCTGCTTCTGGTGTTGCCAGATATTTTTCTCTTATTCCATAAGTGCTTAGCACCATATATAAAGATCTTATATTTATAAAGATCTTTTAACTAGAAGCAAGCAATCTAAAATTACATACACTTTTTGCAAAGGGTAAAGCATGAATCTGAAAATAATGCAGAAAAATGCTCAGAGGATAACGATAACTTGCCAAAAATAAAACGCTCTCGGTTAATAGTGCTTTTAGTGATGACAAAGAAAACATTGTTTATATTAATATGCATCACTTAAGAAAATTTTAATAAAGATATTTATCTTAATTATGAAAATATAGTAGCATGTTTTTTAATTTTTGGAACCTAACCCTCCTTTTCGTACTAGTTCTTTGTTTCGCATAACACGGATTCGCATAACACGACAATTTTTTGGAACATAACTACCGTGTTATACGGGGGTTACCTGTAATTATCATTTTTTACTTTTACTTAAATAAAATTTTACTGAATTAAGTTTTATTTAACTTAAATTTAATTGTTGCTAATCATTTTGCATACATTCTAGAGAAGTAAAATTATGCTTCACCTTGCTATTCCTTTAAGGCAAAAATTGAAAAGAATTATATTTGGTAACTCAAACTTCATATTATTAAATACTTTTTCTATATATAAATTATATAATTCTTTAGTAATATAAAAATGAAAATGGAAATACGGAGTACGGTACAGTCGTTCTTGATAACATCCTGTGCAATTTTTAATTGAAACATCTCCATAGAAAGACTCTTTCATCTGAAAAAAATGAAAAAGCAATTATGACAAATTTTTTTTTGGATTTAATTGAAAACTGTTTTTAAGTTTCAAATTTTTCATAATATTTTTGATAATATTTCTACATCATCTATTGTTATAAAATAACATGATGAAAACCTTATTTTTATAAGGAAACAAGATTGAAGCTCAAAATAGAAAAATCAACATTTTATTATCAGTACTATTCTTATCATATAATTATTATTGACAAGCATTTTTGATATAGTCTAGACTAGAGATTCTCAAATACTTTAGGGCTGCATGTGAGCCATCAAAAACAGTGTGCATGATTACCAGGTCAATTCAGTACAACTTTTTTACAAATGTACTATGGATGTCACGCCAACAATTGTTCTAACTGAAGTGAAAGTTCACACAGGAGCGTTTTAAGGAATGTTATTTCCAGTTAGCGCTTTCGAGGTAGATATGAATGTCGAAAGCGCTAGTCGGAAATAAAATGTTCCTTAAAATGCTCCTTAAAGCCTTTGGTGTGAATTTTTGTTTCAGTCAGTACAACATTTTTAATTTAAAGAGTTTATTTTGTAACTTTTCAATCCAAAATTATTATTATTATTATTATTTTTTTTTTTTTGAATAAATTTCTGATGAAATTTATTTTTGATAATAAAATCCCAAATACAAAGGATGTGGATGTTTTTGTAAAAAAAATCTTATTTATATTTCTTAAGCTGGATATCCATATAAGTGATTTTATCACATAATTTAAATGCTTTCAGGCATTGCATATGCAGGATCTAGAAAAAATAAGCATCTAAATCATATGGTTATGTGAAAATTAAATGCTTGAGCCGGATGTACTTTTTCATCATGTGAATTAGACACTACCAATCAGCAACATGATGATTTGATGTCATTTGTAAAAATGTCTTGGGGATGAATAAAAGGAATGAAAAATATTAAGATGAAAAACAATAAAAATAATAACAAATCAATGTTTTGTTTTCTTTTTTTCCTACAAAAATAGGCACGTTGTTAAGATGATAAGTGTCATTGTCATCTATCTTTGATTTATTCGTCGTTTTTTCTTGTCAGATAACAAATAAAGTACAAATTGCATAATGGATATCAACTGAGTGAATTGCACAGAAGTTACATGATTATGTGCTAGTTTAGCATAAAAAAATTGCTCATATGGATATCCAGCTTTAATAGTTATTCCTATCTACAATCTGTAATGTTACTGATTACAGGTTACCAATTAAAGAAGAACTGATCTACTACTTTCAATTATATTTGATCTTCTTTGACTTAAAATCAGTGAGAGACATGTACTGTACAGTACATTACTTATTTCATTTATACTTTTAATAAAATATTATAACTATGTAATGTGTAATATCAAAAAAAAAAAAAAACACATACACAAGTCATTTTCTACAGTTTGATGTGTGGCCATAAAAATTTTTCTGAGAAGTGATCACCCATAATCAACTGATAACAGAAAAATAGACAAAATCAACAGAAAAATATTTGATTGTACTGACACTGTGCATCAGCATAATAAAATATTTTTCTGTGGACTGGTGAGACTTTTTCATTGACCAGCACTGGTCCCTGGATTGGCAGTTGAAAGACACTGCTCCAGGGGACCAGCACACCCCAAGGGATAAATTTATGATGAAGCAATGTAATAAAAATAATTTTGTTGTTTGGTGACCATTTGTGTCTTTCACCCATGAAGTGAAACAGTAAACAAATGATTAAGAGCCTGTACACACTAGGCGTTTTTAAACACTCGTCGAACGCCGAGCTAATGCGCGTTAGCTCGGCGTTCGACGAGCGTTAGTTCGGCATTAGCACTGGCTCAGTTTGGAAATGGACGTGAAAGTAATTGATTGTGTGTGCTCCTCCATCGTCGCTATAAGGCAGCACACAAAGTGCCCATAAAGCGCCCGCAAAACACACGTTTTAACAAAAATCTATAAACGTGCGTTTAATGCACACTTAATGCACGCTTGGCCAAAAGCGTGCGTTTGAGTGTGTACGCCTACATAGAACTCTTGGTTCTTTAAAACGCGCGTTTAACGCGCATTGAAAAACGCCTAATGTGTACAGGCTCTTAATGTTTTGGTAGTACCTTCTAAACCAGAGGTTCCCAACATTTTTTGTCTTGTAGACCACATGCCAATTTTTTTCTGTTTTGGGTAGACCCCCGCATTTCTAATATTAAATTGTTACAAATTCATCAACTTCAAATGTGTTTTTGACAGCTGACACAGTGCTACTCACTTTGATAGGTTTAACTGTAGAGTAAAAAAGTTAAAAAAAACACATGTTAAGTTTTATACATTTATTAATTAAAACGACACAAAATGCAAATCCAGTAAAATTATAACATAAAATAACTACACAAAAAAATAAATGCTTTTAATGGATGAGCCTGATGTTTTAATAGCAAATTTTCAATATTTAGCTTCAATTTAGTGAGTTGAAACCTTAAATCTCCTCAATCAGTGATTTCTAACCTATTTCTTTCTTTCGTAAGAAGATTGCCAACCGTGTTGAAACCCCTTTCCATGAGGTATGAAGATAGAAAAGCTATCAAAAACTCTCTCATGATAGTCCATAATGCAGGATAAGTAATAGGTATGTCTCTTTGAAACCAAAATTGCTGATCTCTTTCTGAACTGTACCTTAAGTTCTTTGTTAGTGCTTATTCCGATCATTCCTTCTTGTAATATGACATCAGTTTCTTTAATGTCATCATATGGATTGATAATCCACTGTGGTATTTCCGTAGTCAAAACATCCTCAAACCTAGTTTCAAAGTCTGTGTGAAGCATATTTGAATGTTGAACATAGGTTGAAAAGTCATCATCCCAACAGTTTGTCTGTGACAAATTAGGAAACTGGGAAAATTCACACTATCCAATATTTTGCTTCATTAGTTTAATTCTGACAAGAAAAGCTGAAATGATTGACTTTGTTTTAATCAAATTTAAACTGTCACCTTGTAACTGCAATTTAATTTATCAAACAAATCTGTTAAATAAGCAATGTCTGGTTTCCACTTAATTAAATTTTCTTTTAAAACTGGATCTTTATCATCCAAAAACTCTAAGGGCTGATTGCAGAGACAGAGTTTACATTAAATGACGTTTACACATTGGCTCTTACTTACTTCGCTATTACTCCCCTGTTTTAGGAGTCGTTCGGCCAATCGGATTAGAAACAAGTTATTTGACCTATTTTCTAGACTCACTCGACAGCAGGTTTAGAGGGCTTTTCAAATTGAGTGTTAGCTTTGTTCGTGGAAAAGTTTAGATAAAAACAGATATCGTTCCTTCGATAAATGTTGTAAACGGTACGAATCGACAAAATTATTAATTAATTGCTCGGCGCAAAAACAACAAAATTAAATACTTTAAATTTGTTCTAAATGTTCCAATTTCGACATTCAAATGGGTGAAGACTTAAAACTTCAATTTAATTTAAATCAGATGCATTTATTTACAATTCGAGTATTGTGTCGGTTATAAAACGTTAATGCATTTCCGAGTCATTGTACTGTTAAACAAAAGAGACAATTTTAATAATTACAGAAATCTGTTTATAGATATTTAAAAAAATGCAATATTAATAATAAAATATTTAAAATTATTCATTTTGACAGTAATAAGATGTCGAAATAATTCCTTAAAAATCTATTCCGAAGGCGATTTTCGAATTCGGTATAAATTTTCTAAATATGGATTTGTTCATATTTTAAATCGTATTGGCAACGAAATTAAATAACGAAATAGAAAAGGATTGTCATTAATTGCCGAACAATGATTTTGACGGCCTTAAGCTTTCGGAATATAGCTGACGACCATTTCTGACGTCACGAAGAAATAATCCGATTGGCCGAACGACTCCTAAAACAGGGGAGTAATAGCGAAGTAAGTAAGAGCCAATGTGTAAACGTCGTTTAATGTAAACTCTGTCTCTGCAATCAGCCGTAAAACTTTCCATAGCTTAACTACAGACGTGAAGTGCTAGATCTGGAATGCATATCACTCCATGTCTGTAGCTAAACTATGGAAAGTCTTCAAAATGTGTTGTCATAATGACATTATGTCATTTCCTTTTTTTTTTTATAATCTCAAATTTCCTGAAAAACTGTTGAAAACCTCAAATAGATTATAACAGTTTAAACATATTTTATACTTTTCTAATGTATATTCTACATATATTATGTTCTACTTTATACTGAACACTGAACTATTTTCTTTCATATACATAACCAAATGAACATCAGCACTTTTCTCATCATGGGAAAGACTATAAATAAGAGTTTTATCTGGTAGACATGGCAATTACATTGTATACTGAAACTTATAAAAACACAAAACGACTTCTAGTAACTTAACACTGTGTTGAGTAATAACAATCCATGAAACCTTCTTTATAACAGTGTTGTCTCTGTAACAAACTTTACGAACGTTTTTGACCTCCATTGAGGTCTGCTTCAGGTGGTGACTAAACGATGTCTCCTCTTGACCGTTGGAACAATGACACCCGAGATGTAAATAATTGCGCGTATCGCGTTTCACCCCTCTGCTTGTCTCAGTTTGAATTCTTCGAACAAGTACCTCCACGCCTGAACAATCGTTTCTCTGTCTTTAAAGTTGATGCAGGTGACCCCAATGTTGGCTTTATAAACCTCCCAGGCCTCTAGGTGACAGATGTGATCAATACGAAACATCTGTCCAATTACTCTGGTGTTTTGGAAGTCCGCCCGGATTTCAGGGTCGGTAACGTAGGCCGACAAGGCGGTGGTGTGCTTGTTATTTTTAACATCCCGTTGATGTTCCCGTAACTCTCCTGACACTCCAAGGTTGTTTGCATTTGCCAAAATGCACAAACCGACCCCTTCACTTAGGCCGGTCCTGGATAAAGCTAGGTTCCCAATGAGGCTGCTCGAGAAGACCGTTCACAACATTGCCGCTGAGCGTTTGAAGGGATTTATAGGTTCTCTACCACCAATTCCGCTGCTTTTGTTGAGTTGTTACGACAGATCGATGTGGGTGACAACCTGCACTTCACGGTTTTCATTTTCGTGTGCCTTTTCCATTCGATAAGACTACAGCCATGCTTCTACACCCTTAGGGGCCTTCTACTTTGCGAGAATGATGCGCTCCAGCACCATCAGCAGATATTAGAGCTGGCACATCTAAGGTGCTACACCTCAATTTTCCAGTTCAACAACACTACTTACTTACAAAGAAGGGGTGTGCCCATGAGCAGCCTGCTATCGGGGAACCTTTGCGAGCTGGTGGTAAGACAGTTGGAGGAGAGAGTATTGCCCAAATTGTTATCATACATCAGTCTATACCAAAGATACGTAGATGACATCTTCATACTTTGGAAAACCACACCGAATCTTGACAATTTTTTTGTTGTGCATGAACGACAATGCTTACGGCCTCACCCTTGGCTTAGATCAAGTTAGCAACTCGTATGCACATTTTCTAGATGTTGACATACGTCTCAGGGGTGGCAAGATAGAAAGGAGCGTTTACCGTAAACCGGAACAAGATTCCAATTTTCATCCCCGCGAACTCATCTGACCCCTTTGTCTACAAAATTGCGGCCTTCTGTGCCCTTACCAGATGGTCCTTCATGCACCACACAAATGCAACACCCGGTTAGAGCTCCACCGCATAGAAAAAATGGCCATTGAGCATGGCTACAGTAAAGACATGATTTGCGATTTAGCCCGTGCCTGCGCTGACCATCCCCCACGCCGCAGTGGCAGCCCTCTGCCTACGCCGGACAGCAGCCACCAATCCATTAAGAATGACAGATGCATGGTCGTCTGGTTCAACCAACATTTAGACCCCCTATACAGGGAGATTGCTTGCTGTAATCACACAAAGATCACGTACAGGAGAACTGGCACTATTTACGACTTGCTGTGCAACGCCAAGGATGCGATAGATCTCAACAGGGCCCCAGAGTATACTCCATTCCCATCAGGGACAATAGATTGCATAGAGACTTAGTTTGCATTGCTGCACTATCCGCTCAACACAAAAACGGTTACGGGAACATCAACGGGATGTTAAAAATAACAAGCACACCACCGCCTTGTCGGCCTACGTTACCGACCCTGAAATCCGGGCGGACTTCCAAAACACCAGAGTAATTGGACAGACATTTCGTATTGATCACATCCGTCACCTGGAGGCCTGGGAGGTTTATAAAGCCAACATTGGGGGCACCTGCATCAACTTTAAAGACGGAGAAACGATTGCGCAGGCGTGGAGGTACTTGTTCGAAGAATTCAAACTGGGACAAGAGAAGGGGTGAAACGCGATACGTGCAATTATTTACATCTCGGGCGTCATTGTTCCAATGGTCAAGAGGCGACACCGTTTAGTCACCACCTGAAGCAGACCTCGATGGAGGTGAAAAACGTTCGTGAAGTTTGTTATGGAGACAACACTGTTATAAAGGTTTCATGGATTGTTATTACTTATAAAAACTAATACAAAATAGCTTACAAGATACAACTTAATATTTTTTTTTAATTATTCTAAAAATTATTATTAAATTATAAGTCAATAATATTGAAATACCTTTGTATTCAGTGCTTCTGAATCAAGCAATTTATTATGCTGAGAAAGTACAATAAAATCTTTATACAATGCTTTCATATCTAAAAAGAGCAATCAATATATCTGCTTAATTAAAAAAGAAATGATAATAATAATAATATCACTTCACAACTTAATTTTGATCTAAAATTTTAAAAAATTTATATTATAAATAAAACAGAAATTTATTATACTAAAATTTAAATTAATTGAACAAAGAACATCAACTACAATATATTAACCATATTTACTAGTGAACAAAAATAATATTGATACAACCTTTACTCCAGCAATATACATTTATATACAACTAACGTTTTTAAGCTACTTCATAACTCTTCTGATTCTTATAGAAGAACGTATGTTATGTTGCTCCTATTACTATATTTTTTTTCTAGTTTTTAGATTTCCTTGTTTTGTTTTTAATGTGGATATATTCCACTGTTTACAGACATTTCCATTCAGTTGCAAAATAAGTAAATAGCTACGTGCAATTATTATAATTAATTAAATAAAGGAACATTTACAAACAATACAGCCTTTTTTTTTTTTTACCATTCCCTGTCCTGTAACTTTTTTCTGGCCAGAAAAGTGGCCCCCCCCCATTCCTAAAACCACATAGTCTAAGAAAGCCAGACAGACCCCCAAATACTTTATTTTAATACTAGAAAAGAGAATAGCAAAAGCTTTTTTGTAACTTTCCCTAAACAAACATAAAAATAGGCAATAAAGCAAAGACGTATAAGATCAGTTACAAATAACAATTGTAACAGTTCAAAGTTAAGTGGCCAGTGCTGGAATAAGAGGCAAGCTGACTGGGCACCTGCCCGAGGTGCCGAATGTTAGGGGATGACAAAATTAAGGCCAGAACTATGGACTTAGAGCCTCTGCTCCTTCTAAAAATAATTACACGATAATCAAAGCATATGCTATACTTCTTTCTGCTCTGAGAAGATGCAAATATTGAAGAAACGTAAAATAATTTAGCATCATCTACTAACAGAAATGTCTGTAACAGTTACCTGCTGTATTTATATATATTTTACTTTATATTCATACTTTGTACAAGTTTCTAGAATGTCTCAATTTCTTTCTGTCTTTGTTTTATGTCTTAGGATTTATACAAGGATTTAAAATATTTTGACATAAGCTGAAGAATAAGCAAAAGTTTTAGGAATGGAGCCAATATTTGCAGAAAATAGAATTGTTCAATTGCATAACTGACCATCATTACTGTCAATGAAAAAACAAAGTTTAGAACAACGATATTCTATATCATTTTACATATAATATTAACATTTCTTGAAGAAACATTTGAACAAATAAAATCTTATGAATAAAATTGGGGTTTTCTTTAATTTAACTAAAATAAGCAATTTAAATGAATTAAAAAAACATTGTATGGATTTGCATTCAATTCTTAATGATGACAATAGTAGTGACATTGATGGGAATAAACTTTTTAAAGAAATTAAATCTCTAAACAGTTTACTTTTGAAAAACATCATTTTGCCATTAGAGACTACAATTTTTAAAAGTACGCAGTTTGCAGAATATAGTTCCAAATACATGGGTGGCATTGAGAATTCTGCTGACAATTCCTGTAACAGTAGCGACAATGAAAGAAGTTTTATCAAATTAAACTTGTCAAAACATATTTGCAATCGACAATGGCAAATTAGAGATTAAATTCTTTAGCCTTGTTGTCTATTGAAAATGCCATTGCTCAAGAAATAGACATTGAGAAAAAATAAAAGCTTTCACAGATTTGAAATCAATAAAAACCACATCTAAATTACAACTGTTTAAATGCAAATTACAGTTTAAAATCAATAATTTTTATTTGTAACCATATTTTTATGTGTTTTCTATCTTAGATAATAAAAATTAAAGTAGAAATATTGACATCATGAAATTACTAATAATTTGAAATAAATACTTATCGAACTGCAATTTTAAAATTGCAAATGTGCAGATTCCCACTGTTATCCATTAATCCTTCCTTAATCTCAAGAACGAAGTTATATAGATGAAAATAATTGAAACCAGCTGTGAAAAGCTTAGGAGCCAGAGACCAGATTTCCTATATATGAACTCCCAATCTAGACCAGAAGTTATATGATTTTTTATTGTTAAATTAAAATATGATTAAAAATTGCAGCCCGGCATCACAATAAGTAATTGCTCATACCTATGATTAGAAAGTACTGTACATAAATATAAAAAACTTCAGGCATCAAACACTTAATATGCCCTGAGTGTAAAATTATATTGGTCCAGCTCTGTCAATGACTAACAGATTTTTTTTTCCAAATGGATTTTCCTGTATAAATATTTAACTTTTATAATTTACATTATATTAATGTAACTGTTCATGCTACAATGTATGAAACCATAGAAAGATTGAGATTAATAGAAGACAACAACATAACACATGGGTGATCTTCCAAGGAAAATCCCACTCGTGAAGACTTTTCATGGTAGGAGGGAGAAGATATAAAACGCCTCCCATAAAAATAATGTTCTCCTCCAAGAATGATCCAAGAATGAAATTTTAGCATCAAGGCTAAAATTTCATTCTTGGATTTGCTTATATATAGATTTCCAGATGGGATTATGTTCTGTGTTCCGTAAATTCAACACCTTGACCTTTATAATTCCATCAACAGCCTTCCAACTCTCTCAGTATGTAAATTCTGCCATAACAGCTCTCAATCATATGGCAATTCTCTTCTCTTCTAGTCAGGCAGTGGGTGACAATGAATCAATTGCAGTATGCAAGGTAAGTTATACACCTGCAAAATTCAAATACCTGTGTGGTAATATGCACGTGGTGAGGGTTGATTTCACAAAGAAACGGGTATATAAAACAAATAAGACGTGCTTTATTATTTTCTGTGAACATATACAGGAAAGGTTCTTGTTGATTCCGACCTCCTGAGTCCTTACATCAAACAAACGAACAAACAACACCTTTTTTCGATTCACAGTCGAGCAAGACTTTCGCGATACAAAGAGATANAGATACCTAAATCTCCGTCAGAATTTAAGGCTATTTATAGATATGCCTCAACCAAACAATGTACCAGAACTATGACACTTTACGGGAATGGTAACACTACTCTCAATTTATACCTGATGTATCGACTGTCACACTATCAATTATCCACTCCAAGTTGTTGAGGAAAAATAAGAAATTTGTTTGGTCAGCTGAGTGTCAAGGAACACAGAACAAAGAAAGAAGGAAAGATAGAAAATCATATATATACATATATATAAAAATGTAACAAAAATATATTGGTGTACCACCACACCTGGTTAACTACATAAAAAGAGCACTCTTTCTGACATCCACTCTGAATACAAAAAGGAATTTACTTACATACAACCTGCAATACCATATTTAGGGTCGCTATCATTAGCTGTCACACATATATTCAGAAAACTCAGGTTTATTCTCCCACTAGTTCCCCAACCTACCTTATGTAGGCTATTATGCAATGACAGAGATAACAGTGACTTGTTGGAAAAATTGAGGATATACACCATACCTTTAGAACACCATCTCTTAGGAGTGAGGGTGACAATCAATTATATTGAAACTACTACTAGAATGCACCAGACACGTATCCAAGATATCAGGTAGACATATGAAATAATAGGCATACTACAGAACTGGCCAAGAGAGTTCTAGACCATGATTACAAACCCTTCCAGTCCTACATGTTACTTTTCAAACAATGCCAGGATAAGAGAATGTTACCTTAGTTGCATTGAAAGTACTTGCAAGTTTGAATAAAACATTGGTTTTAACACTACAAGACAGAGTATGTTACTTTGTAACATTACACTAGATCAGGGTGGAAAACCTGTGGCACGTAAGGAGAAATCATCTCACACGTATCACATGATTTTGATTTACATAGCTGCTTTACATCCAAGATATTTCTGACTGTGAATATCTTAAATTCACAGTCAGAAATGCGAATGCAGCAATGACATATCAGCAACAGACATTTTTCTTCAAGCTCAGTTTATCTGTGGTATAAAAGATAGATGGATCAGAGAACAGCTACTCCAATCTGAACTTTCCCAATTCAATAACATGTAGCAAAAGCTATTACCCTAAAAGCATCAAAGGCAGATAGCTGAGAACTATCGAAAATACAATCATCAAATACAGTCATCAACCCACCAGACAAGGTCTGTAAAGTTTCAAGTTACATCTGATGAGCAAGGGCAGAGTTCCAACCTTCAAAGTCAAAATAAAGCACATCATAAAGCACATCACAAAGACTAAAGCACATCAAGATCAACACACTAGAAGTAAGCTGAGAAAACATATTGATTACAAAAAGCTTGGTATTGTTAATTTATGTTTATTCTGTAGACAAAATAATCATTTATCAAAAAGTTGTTAAACAAATATTTCCAACTTAAAATGCAAGTCTTGCAATTATACTGGTCATGTAGCAAAAGTATGCATCAAAACTGTCTTAAAATAGAAGTAAAACACATCAAATAGTGTTTGGACATATCAAACTGATAACTATGAAAATCTTGGGGTAAATCAAATTGTTGAATCTACGATAGCTCCAAAGCAACAGTAACTCATGACACAAAAAAGTATTGCGCTACTGTGAAAGTCAAAAATCAGTACCAATGATTTGAAGTAGATACAGAAGCAGGATATACCTTGATACCAGAGAACCAATTTGAGAAATTAAAACTCAAGAATCAGCTTCAGCTAACAAATGCCTTCCATTCATACACAAAGAATGTGTTTTCTTCCATGTGGAAAAATTGAGGTGACGGTTGAATTTAAGGGCCACACCTCAGTTGAAGACATGTATATCATTTTGGATGGATATAACCCACTTCTTGGATGAAAACCTGGATCTAAAAATTAAATTAAAACATATCAACCAAGAAGAGACAAACTGACCAAATGGAGCACAGATCCTCTCTATCAACAATACAGAAAACATCAAGAAAACTTTCCAGAAATTCAGAAAGTCAATTCTATACCAAACTTTGTGGTTCAGCTTAAACTTCGAAAAGG